GCCAGCCAACGCCAGCCACTGTGCATCTAAGGGACAGTCAGGTGATGGCCTGTGAAGTCAACTCGGATCTAGTGTCCTTCACTCGGTGGGAGAAAGATCGCCAGCCACTGGAGATGAGCACCAGGCTGGTCCAACTGCCCAGTGGAGCCTTGGCGATCAGCAATGCCTCGGAGGCTGACGCTGGCCTCTACCGTTGTCTGGTGGAAAATGTGGGTTCATCCAAGTCCAGCGACGAGGCCCAGCTCCAGATAGTGCCAGGTAATTTGAGGAACTGAAGTTGTGTAGATGTAGGTTTTTATAGTCACAAACAGGGATGATACTAGATAACTCCCACTGTTAATGTAATGAAAAAATGTATCCTCTTGCCCTCAGTCGTTACCTATTAATCAGACATTTCCACATTTCTGATTGCTGTGCAAATACGTTGGTGCTTCTATGTTATAGCAGAACCTCTTGTGTAGTAAACTAAAACAAAAAAATAATTCAGTGGATTATTTGATTGCAGAGGTACACTCTGGGTTGCTCACTACCACGAGTATGTGGAAATCTGCCTAACTGTAGGGAGAGATGGTTGAATGCCAAATGCAGTGGTAGAGCTGTTGTAGCAAAAGGGGGCTAAATTCCATTGTGGCGGTGTTTTGTCTCACCCATCTACAAGTTCTATTTACTGAGTTGTTAAGCGCCAGGCTCCTGGCAGCACGTAGAGGATATTAGAGATCATAAATCAGATCTCAACAAGACCGCAAACTGGGGGTGTTTATCTCTGCATGTGTAGTGGAGTGGCAAAAGGCTGGCTGGATGCATACAAAACTCAAAAGAACTCAAAGCTGTGGGAGAACAGGGAAAGGATTTTTGTGTGGATGATGCCAGATGTAGGAGGGTCAGAAGTACATTTGCAGTTATTTGGTTTCACCAACAAAGCAGCACGAGAATGAAGCAGCAATGGGTGTGTTTTGGAGGGATACATTAAAGTGAAAAGAATGAAAATCATTTCATGCATTTGTTTTGTTGTAATTAGGTAGCTTTTGAGAATGATGATCTAAGCTCAGCACAGAGGGTTTTAAACAAAGGTGGCTGTCTGCAGTTACTGTGTATGTGCTGGGGTCATACATGGTTTTTGCATGATGCTGCTCAGGCAGTTAACTGCAGCTAGAATTACGTAGGATCCCCTTGAACTCCTAAAGAGCGTAGACTTCAGCTGTCTCAGACATCAACATGGCCATTTTTCATCTGACCATTTCTTGGGTTGAGGGTTGTCAGGAACGACTGCTCGTCATACGTGCATTCTTTTGAAGTTTTTAAGACGGATGACATCTGTTAAGGATAATCACCTTTACTGACCAAGTATGTTACACACACAAGGAATTTGTTTCCGGTACAGAACCGAGGCAGCCATCTGCAGCACCAACTCACAGCGATAGCTCTAACCATCGGGGGCAACTTGGGGGTTCAGTGTCTTGCCCAAGGACACTTTGACATGTGGACTGCATAACATAGAAGACTGCTGCTCTGCTTCACTTACTCAGCCCAGCCTTAACCCAGACTATTTTTTCTCCCATCTAAGAAACTGGAGAAGAGAGGAAACTGGAGTTCCTGGTGCAGCCTGTGCCTGTGTCAAAAGTGAAGGGCACCAGCGTGCTGCTGCCTTGTGTGGTCACTGGTTACCCTGCGCCACACATCCACTGGATGTTTGGAGACAAACTGCTAGACGAAAGGTATGTGCATGAACTCTGGCTTTAAGTTGGATTCACAATACTTTTTTGATCCTCTTTTGTAATTGCTACACCGACTGAAGCTCATTCTAAAAATTTGTTGTACGTGTTACAATGACAATAAAGGATTATCTTGTATCTAAAGATGTTGTCTTGGGGCAAGTTTCTGCCCTTTTTCACGTAGCATCTGGTTTGCTATACTTTTTTCAAACTCAGCGCAGTCACCTTTACTCTGTAAAGTAAAAGTCTGTCATTATACACTGTTGTGTTCAGTGTGCCCTGGCTCTCACACATTGCACGCTTTTGAAAATCAACACAGACTGTGATGTTACTGCTCCTTTGCACCCAGTGCCTCCAAAAGCTAACCTGTCTGCCCTGGCGCCCGCTACCCAAGGTGTCAATGCAGTTCTGCCGGTGCTACCCAGAGAGTCCTAGGGGGCAGACCTGGACGTGCCAACAGAGTGACATCAGCTGGGGGACAGAGCTGCAGGCTTGCCAGTTGAGAGGAAGTTCACAAATTAAGAGCCAAGAGTGTGTCACTGAGCCTGTGCCTTCACTCCTCTGGCTCTCATTAGCTCAGTCACAGCAGTTCAGTTCCCTCAGAGGGAGTTACATGGGAAATGGGAAGTTTGATTCTCACCAATTAAGAATGCTCTTTGTTTACCTATCCCCTCTCTACCAGTCCTGTAGAATAATAACTTTGCAGCTTGTGAGGTCAACAGAAGATAGCTGAAATAGGGCTTATTCATCTAAATCCTGGCCAGAATGGGATTTCTGCCTTTAGTGAAATTAAATGTAAGGTGGTCATATTGGTAGCCACAAGGCTTCATTGTGGTCTGAGCTACAGTAGAATACCATTAAACTTTCCAGTTAATTCTTAGCACAGCACAACATCTTAACTTAAATAACTTTTAACACCCAAGGAATTGTCCATGAGCAAGTCTGACCTCCAATGGGAGCTTGCTAAAAAGCTACTTATTAATCTGCCTCGTATCAATTACAAAACACTATTCAGTGTGCATATCCACTCTGGATAGTATTTAGCAAGCATACTCTGAGCAAACTAGGGAAGTCTTAGTAGTATTGAAGTGGACCCCCATGTTCCTACCCTCAGAGAAGAAATAGATTGTGTGGTGAATACATTACACTGTTCTTTTGATTTAACTGTGACATTGACAATTAAAAAGAGTAGCAGTGGAACTTTCTTTTTTCTCCTTGGGAGTCTCGTGTCCCTTTCAGGCATTACATGAGAGATAGAAGAGCTGCTGTCAATTAAAATTGGCATGGCATACAGTGCAGGGGAGTTTGCAAAGAGTGTCTAATTGGTCTTTGGTGCACAGCACAAACAGGGCCTTGAAAGTGGCGATGACAGAGCTGTAGACATGAGAAGAAAGTTTATGAAGATATGTCAGAGCTAGCAGCTGAAGATGGTGATTCGCTGGCACTGAGGATTAGCTCATTGAGTCTCTGCTACTGCTGATTCAACTTGGTCATGTCTCTGTTTTTATTTCTTTGTCTCACTCTCTGTATTCACAATGGCATTAAAGTCAGTTTTATCCTCAGCTATGGATAATGAAGGTTATTCAAACGAAACCATGTATGGTAGCTTTAGAAATAGCGATTCCTGGGTGCCTAATTCTCCTCAGTAATTCTTAGCTGGTCCTTCCACTAGCTGACTGACTCCTCAGAAGCACTTTAGGACACTTATAAAGACAATGAATCATTCAAAGGTCTTTTTAAACTGTGCCATATAAAGGATTTCCGTCATAAGTCGCTTTTCTATAGCAAGTCTTTGAAGAGTCTCATTAGTATGTTATTCATGACCTGTCAGAAGACAGACATCGCTATTTCTTTTGTATCACTTGCCATGTAGGACCCTCTTTGATGCTTGTGATGACAGATGGGGACAAAGCCAAGACCTGCAATAGAAATGTGGAACAGGTGGTTGTCTACCTCTCAGTTGTTGAGAGTTTAAGTTCTCTTTGTTGAGTTACTGCCCTTCACTCTTTAAAGTCCTTTATTATGGAATCATATTACACAATGTTTTTGTCTTTTGAGATGGCCACTGTGTCAGATGTGGCAGTCACAGTCATAAATTCATGTTGTGGTTATTGCACATACCACATACCACAATGTCCAGGGTTTGTTGTCTGGCCAGGGGACTTTAGTTGCATGTCATACCCCTCTCTCTCTGCCATAGTTTCCTCTCTCTCTCTCTCTTTCTCTATCTGAACTGTCAATTCTCAGATAAAGGCAAGTAATGAACAAAAAATCTGGTTTTGGCAAAGTTTATGTTGGATGCAGGATCCTGAGCAGTCATATCTAGCAGCCTGTTATGCTGATGATAAGGAAGGATCTTTAAATTCTATTGTTCTGGGATTCATATCACACAGCAGACATTGCAGACTGACTTTACTTTTACACACACACACACACACACACATATATATCTATATATATATATATATAGATATACAAATATATATAAATACAATTCTATGAACGAAACTAAACCTGGAACCATTCCTGGTCTCTCAGCTGGGAAGGAACAGTCTTTCTTTTTCCCTTGAGTGTGGATTATCAGTATCTCATGATGCTATCGAATTGGCACAATGTTCATGACTTGAGGGTGATATTAACATGTTTATAAGTTCACTGATATGAAATAAAACAATATTGTTCTTTTGTTTTAGGCATGTTTTTTTGTTTTAGAGCGCGCCTGTTGTGGGTTAGCATTGCGGACACCTGTTGGAAAAGAAGACAAAAATACCCTGACATGCTGGTCTTTTGTCAACACTTTGTGAGGCGTCCCACGTAGTTGTGTTGATTGCCTTCCACTATAACACTTTATAGCCTTTACATTATAGGATACAGCTTTGTTCCTATGGCCCAGTGTTTGTCAGGTCAGACCATTATCAGGTTAATACAGTATAGATGGATATATTCCAAAGTTTTTCATAGAGTCTGAGATATTGCTCAGACTATCTACTATGATCTCTTGCGTGAACTTATTCAACTGAGATATCTGCACGCATTGTCTTTTGTTTTAATAAAAGATTGGCACTGAGGTATCTATACTATAACACTATTCTACTATAACAAGCTGTTCATGTATTCATCAGCATCCAGACCCAAGTCTCAAATTCATTTAGGCTTCGACCACATCTGTTGCCAAGGACACCAAGTTCACCATTTATTCTGATTAAGTTCAGCATCATCATGACAGAATATATAACACTTGAAGCTGTTCAGTGAACATGGTGAAAATAAATTCCCAGCATTTGTCCTGTGTGTCATCAATTATGTCCCCGGGTGCCAGCGTGCACAGAGAAACAGGACTGTGGATCCTGATGACAGTCATGAAGAGGACAGTCATCTTTTGTTCTTGGGAGTATCACTCTATCACCTAATAGAATTCCCCTGTAGTCAATAAAATGGATGAATTATGCATGTTGGCCAGCAACAGAGAATTGACAGAGCATGTAAATCAACCCCCTTCCAAAGCCTCCGAACCATCCATCAATCTCTCCTCCTTGTCTTCTCACCTTCATTTAAATATTATTGTGTTTATTGCATTTACTTGCACATGAAGAGTGAAGCATGGTGCGGGACATTTGTTTGCAGTTGGACTATTATTGGACTGCAGTGTAATCCTCTCTCACACATGTAACCTTATTCACTTGGCTGCTTTCTGGGTGAGAGGAGAAAATGAATACGCACACGGTGTACACGCATAAATGCATTATTTTAGTGAGCTACCATGGGATCCCGCAGTGAGATGAAGGAAATGAAAAATGGCTTTTTACCCAGTTGCCCATGAAAGAATATATGACTGTTTAACAAAAGGCCATACTGTAAATGTCATTTGATGAGGGTGTAGATCAAACTGCTAGTTTTACCTCTTAGTCTGAACTTATAATCCTTCTGGTTTCATCCCTGCTTGATTTGGCAGTAACTGGGGTTACCGGTGGGAACATACTGTACAGCAGAGGTAGGAGTAAATCACACATGTGCAAGTCACAAGCAAGTCAGGTCTCAAGCAAGTCTGAAGTTAATGGTGTGAGAATCAAGCAAATCAACTCCAGTCCCCAAGTCAAGCAAGTCACAAGTCAAGTCATAGAAAATTCTGATGATATGACAATGTTAGGGCAATATCACGTATTTAAGTGAAACATTCACAAACTACCTCTGATTATTAATTGTGCATTTCTGGACTATAAGCGAACTGTTGGTTTTTAAATAAAAAGGCATGTCTTTTATGGCTCTCACAAATTCTTCTCAATAAAATGTGTAATCAATTTGAAGTCAAGTCTAACTTCTTAAATTTAACTTTAGGTTTCTAGCTAACATTTGACCAGCCGATAAGTTAGCTAACATTAGCTGAAAAGACGCATTTGTGTTCTTTGCATATCGCTGTTCTCTTCTTACTACCATTTATCAACAACATACTCCTTGAATCTAAATGTTATTATTTATGGACTAGTCCCCTCCATCAGAACTGCATCATGCTACCAGTGCTGCCCTCTGCTGGATTGCCACGTTCTGGTAGTTTGCCAGATTTGCACACACTGCATTGGAAACCACCCAATTGTGTCTCAAAAGCAAAATGTAACTACTCAATATTTAGAAAAATGCAAATATTTAATAAAACAGTGAAGTAATTTCAAGTTATCTGTCTCAAGCCTAAGTCAAGTCTCAGGTCATGAACACCAAGAGAAAGTCGAGTAGAGTCTTTTACCAGTGTTAGTCGAGCAAGTCCTCATATTTGCGACTTAAGTCATGTTACTCAAGTTTCCCACCTGTACTGTTCAGTGTGTTTTAACACTGGTAATAGGGGTCACAGAGTTGTGTTTGACCACTGGTAGCGTCAAAAATGCCTATCACAAGTTTTTATCAAGAATGGGGTTAGATATTATGAAAATTCTCCAAATTAGAATGCTGCACCAATTCACTACAGAAATTTTTGCAGTAGCAATGAAGTGCAATTTAAGCCATCTTGAATA